GTTGGTGACCCTGGATACTAATAAGTAGTTATCTGATAAATTACTAGAATATTGTTGTTAAATATAATCAACAAAAGTTCTTTCATGTCATTTTGTTTGTTTGAAACTTTCAATTATAGCGCACAAACCATTTAATTTTTAAAAATAAATTGTTATTTAGAAATTTACATACATTTTATTAATAATAAGTAACGAATTTCTACTTTCTATCAAACATCTCCATAAAAAGTGGTAAAAATTGTAAGCCTTCAATTTGAACATGTTTAGTAACTTTAGAAACTGTTTCATTAATTACATTCAATTCTTTTAAATTATTTATTAATCGCTCGACTTTTTTATTCGTAAGAAAATCTGAACGATATTTCATTTGTAGATAGCGTTGGAGTAAATGAATGTAAATATTTTGCTGCGATCTGTCAAATAAAAAGAAATGTTATTTTAATATAATTATTAATTATAACTTATAAATAAAAGGTATTACTTGATCATATTTTTATGCATAAGCTGTGGTCGATTAGGATTAAACAGTACGATCGCAGTCAACTATAAAGTGAATAAATGATGAATAAATATATTCATAAAAAATAATTAATAAATATAATAAATACCAAGTCTATAATAAGAGTGTCTGAATCCCAGTCGAGTCCCATATTTTCCAGAAACCTTTTGTGATTATTATAATGTGTGAGTCCCATTGAAACAATGGGTGCCGATCCGAAAAAGTCCAGTTTTATTATATAATTGTGATCATTCTGATGAAATAAAGTTAGGTAATGTACATTATAATGTAATATTAAGTGTGATATATTCTTACAGTTTTTATACTCCAGTATTTGTCTTCAAAATTAAAGTTACAAATCATCCGTAATATACTTATTTCAATAGCACCGTGCTTAATTAAAATCAATTGATCATGATCACATAAATTGTTAAATGTTGTCAAACATTTAGACATTTGTATGATTTTCTTGATCTCATTCTCATGTGCCATAATTATTACATTAATTGTATTTACAAATGAATTGAGGGCTATATTCTCAGCACTAGTAGCCGTCGGAAAGATCATAATTTTCAAAGCATCCAACAGTTCCGTCAATTTATTGCCCTCTAATTCATTGAATTGATTGCTATAATCAGTGATAGGCTTCGTAACAGGTATGACCGACAGATCCAAATCATATGCATTTTTATTGATCGAGAGGTCACTAAAACTATTATCTGTTGACACGTCTGATGAGGTCTCACTTTCATGGTTACACATCTCATCCATAATAATATCATTGACTGTTTGCAGTGATAGACTGGGAGTTGAAGAGACACTTTCGTCATTAGTTTCTGTCATTTCATTTGCTTTTAGTTTTCTATTACTTTCTATAATAGATTTTCTCAATTGTTTTTGTTCATCGGAATACAATAAGTTCTGTCAAATATGTTATAAAAATAAATTATTATTTATTTATTTATTTATAAAAAGTCCTTATATTTGACTCACAGTTTTCATTCCGACGGCAAAACACTTATCTAAACGACATTTCTTGCATTTATTTCTGTTCTCCAAATCTATTCTACAATTCGCTCCCAAATAGCATACAAATCGAGTCTAAAATTAAAATTCGACTTGATTAGATTTAGATGATTACACATTTAAATAATAAAATTACCGCATTTGTCAGGGCATTCCTCCGGAAAAACGATTTACACGATTCACATGTTATCACATCGAAATGAAAGCCTATTTATCATGAGTTAATTGTTTTGTTATTATTATTATTATGTAGTTTTATTTTGATTTTATTATATAACATACCTGTTGACCGACCCCCACAAACGCGACAAACTATGTTTTGAATCATATTTTTCATTGTAATCAAGAATGAAATCACATATGAATTTTGATTATTAACTAACAAATAGTAACAAATCAAAGTAGTTATAGTTAATGTCACTCTTGTTTGTTGCAAATTCAAGAAACCAACATTTTTTAAATACACAACAATTTTAATACATACAAAATATACACAATTAACTAAAATGCAATTTATTAGGCATCTTATCGGGTAAAGTAAACATAATCAATGATAAGAGATTTGATCTAAACACACAATTCCCACCATATTTGTTGATAACCCTGGATACTAAAAACTGGTTTCCTGGTTAATTGCATGTTATTAGATATTGAAAAAAGTTAACATTTCATTATTATTTCACTATTGTGACCGTGATACACGTCAAGATGTCATCATTAAAATTTGATAATAAAGTTTGTCTAGTTTGCGGCGACAAATCAACAGGTAAATAATTATCTGTACAGTATTTATAATTGGCTATAAATTAAAAATATGAATCTCTTATATGTACTGGATACATTTTAAGGAAAACACTATGATGTGCATACATGCGAAGCGTGTAAATTGTTTTTCAAGAATAACGCCCTCAAGAATTCGGTAATATTTTGCTTGTTATGTAGAGATATTATACTCATATTATTTATTACGACAATCAGGGTGATTTTAGATGTTATTTAGGGGGCAATTGCGATATTGAAGTCAGGAGTAGAAAACACTGTAAGAGATGTCGTTTGGATAAGTGTTTAGCCGTCGGAATGAAAACTGTATAAAACTTTTTATTAAAAGTATAATATAATATTTTCTGACCTTTAATTAATTTTATTTGATTTAGAAATTGATTTTAAATGACAAACAAAAACAGTTGAGAAGAGCATTGATTGAAAATAATAGGAAAACTAAACAAAAAGTGATATCAAAGAAAACTTTGGAAACTATGGACTCAACGCAAGAGTTAATAAGATATGAAACAAACAATTCCTCTGATGAACTAATAAATGATTTGTCAACTGAAATGATAATCAATACTCAAGCAAATCAAATGTCTGGATTAGGAGATTATGAGCAAAATACTGAAATTAATTGTTTTAATTCAGTCATACCTATTATGAGACCCGTTACTGATTACAGCAATACTTACGATGAGATTGAAGGCACGAAATTGCGTGAACTCTTGGATATACTCAAAGGGATGCCAATTGTGATCACAGGGCCTACGGATAAAACATTTGTTGACAATATTATGGATGCTTTAAATCTATTGGTCTTAAAATGTGATGATTATATACAAGATGTGATCAAATCGTTTAAACGTTTAAATAGTTTTCAGAGTATCTGTCAAAGCGATCAAATGATTTTAATTAAATACTCGTTACTGGAAATCAAAATTTTGCGATTGATTTCAAGCTTCAACTTTGAGGGCCAATATTGGACTTTAGACACCGTTAGTACTGGGTACAAAATACTTGACAATAGTCAATCTAATTACTATTGATTAATTTAGGAAAATAATTGTTCAACGCTTTTGAAGTTAGATCTATTCAAACAAATTAATTTCGTTGCCCAACCATTCAGACCGTATTACGATTACAAGAATTTCTATCAGAATATGGGTCTCGACTGGAATTCAGACAATTTGATCATTGATTTGGTAATATTCGTAGTTATAGTTATATAACACTATATATTTTTTATAAATATTTAAATACGTAATTATTTATATACTGTATATACAAATTTGTATTTTATATTAATCTATAGTTAACCGCTATTTTACTTTTCAACGCCGAAAGACCAAACTTAGTCAACAGAGAAATGATCAAGTAAGTTATAACTACCGTAATATAATTAATTGCAATGTGTTTTATGTTTATACTCTTAATAGGGATCAACAGAATATTTACATTCATTTACTGCAACGCTATTTACAAATGAAATATCGATCGGATTTATTATCAAATGCAAAATATATGCGATTAATAAGCAATTTAAGGTATTTAAATAATCTAAACAATAAAGTGCCCGAAATTGCAAAACACGTCAAATGTGTGCCACCACTTCTTAGGGAAATACTTGACCGGGACAATTATCCGTTGGAGAATTTTACCTTGTAATTGTTTAGATTTAATAAGTTACTGTATATTATTAAAGATTGTAATGTTTACTTTTACTGAAATTTTACAAATTATTTTCATTAATCGATAACCATATAAATTAATAAGTAATATATTTGATATTTATTTCAAAACTAAAAACTTTAATTTTATTAAGGTATTTATCGTAATATCCACCTAGAGTACTATGTTACTTTTGTTATAAATAAAACACAGGTTAATTTTTAGATTCTTAATTCTAAACAGAATTTGATAAATATAGTAAACTTGTAATACTGTACATGAATTGGTGATATCATAAATATAAAATAATAGATTGAAATGATTTTGCGGTTTTAATGTTTAAATATTGACATTTATTCTATGAAGTAATTATTATACAAATATTATTACGAAATATCAAGGACAGATGTATTATTTTATAAACACCAACATTTTTTGATAAGAAATAGATAAATCTTAAACATTTATTAATTTTGTAAAAATCAACATTGTATTATTAATTGTGTAAAATGTCTAAACAATGTGTAAATTTTTTGTTTCAAATAAAGTATCTATAGTTTACTTCAAATAAGTGTATTTAAAATTCAAATGTCAAATTCACATAAATATAAAGTATGCCAAATATGTGATGATGTTTCATATGGTTAGTATTTATTGTTTGTATTAATTTACAATTCATTGTAATGTATTATATTGTAATATACTCTGTATTTAGGCACACATTTTAATGCAATCACTTGCGTGTCGTGTAAATCGTTTTTCAGGCGAAATGCGCTCAAAGAATCGGTTAAATAGTTTTCATATATTTATTTACAAATATTTATAAATTACAATTATTAACAATATGCTACAATATCTAAACAGCAATTAAAGTGTTACCTAGGTGCTAACTGTGAAATAACTGTAGACAGTAGAAAACGATGTAAAAGTTGTCGACTGAATAAATGTTTTGCTGCCGGAATGAGAACCGTACGAACACTTAGTTTTAATAAATGTAATACAATTAAGTTACAAACTTTTGTGATGTTTATAATACACAGGATTTAATTCATTCTCGAAAACATAATAAAGACAAAAATGGCTTAACAGACGAAAATCAAATGCAAGTTATCGTTGACTCCAACACCAGTAGTGATGAATATTTGTCACTATATTTCTCAGACAACAGACCCTCAGATGAAAATCACATTAATGACAGTAATAATATCTTAGAAAATGATAATATTAGTACTGTTGATGGACTGACACCAACTGTACCGGATCATAATGTTATATCTATTGTAAGTCCTGTCACCGATTATAGCATACAATTCAATGAGTTAGAGGGTATGAGATATAATGAGTTATTGAATGCAATTAAAGCTTTTCCAAATGATTTCAACACTACTGACCACATTATAATTGATGATTTAATGGAGGGGTTCGCTTTACTTTGTTTAACATATGATAAAGGGATCACACTTAACATTAAAATGTCTAAACTATTAAGCAATTTCAATAGTCTATGCGACAATGATCAAATTGTGTTAATTAAATATTCATCGATAGAGATCACTATTTTGAGGATGATTTCAGTATTTAATTTTGAGCACCTGTATTGGGATTTAGTTTTGGTAAGCATTATTTATATATATACTGTACATTTGGATATTTATTTTATTATTTTCCAGAATAATAGATCACATTTACTGCGATTGGATATATTTCGTGAACACACTCACAACAACCCTGATGAGATTTGTAGGAATTATGAATACCATAAAATGATTCTCCAATATATGGGACATGACTGGGAATCAGATGCTATTATTCTTGATTTTGTAAAAACTTTTAAAATTAGTTTCTTTATGATAAACTAATTTTATGTTTCTCGTAGTTAACAGTTATACTACTATTTAATCCCAATCGACCGAAATTAATGCATAGACAGACTGTTAAGTATGCAATTAATGTAATTACTTGTATTGTTGTTAAAATGTCATTTCTATTGTCGTAGATATCAACAGAATATTTATATATATCTATTTCATCGATATTTGGAAATGAAATACAGATCCAAATTACTGGCGAATGCAAAGTTTTTGAGACTAAAAAATGTTGTTAAAAATTTAGGTTTATTGAGTGAAGCGATAGTTGGTCACTCTAGTGTCGATGATTTAAGTCACGTGCCACTTTTCAGAGAAATATGTGATCGTAATTAATACAATATTTGTTAATTCTTTACAGGATACAATTAGATATTAATAATAATATTTAAAAATTTAATCAAATATTCTGTACATTAATAAAATTATCCAAAAAGTATTATTTATATCTAATTTATTTTAGAATGTTTAAAAAATCGAGTATTGTATCAATTTAGCCATTTATTAAACAAATATTACTAAAGATCAAGGACACTTGGTAATGGATGTAATAGCATATAAATGCAGTAATATGCACAACATTACAGTTTATTTATAAAATATATTTTTAAGTTATATATTAAACATGGTTTAAACCAATCTCACAATATTGTGCTGTGCTACATAATGTTTTTAAGTTTAAGCCTTATGTAGAATAATTTATTTCAATTAGTTCATTAAAATCAAAATGTCAAATTCAATAAAACACAAAATATGCCAAATATGTGGCGATGTCTCATACGGTAAGAAATTATACTTTTATTTATTTCACTAATAATTGTATGCATTTAGGCAAACATTTTAATGCAATCACTTGCGAGTCGTGTAAATCGTTTTTCAGCCGAAATGCGCTCAAAGAATCGGTTAAATAAAATAATATTTTTAAAAATCATAACAAATACCAATATAAATATATTTATAATTTAAATAGCAATTAAAGTGTTATTATGGTGGCGATTGTGAAATAACTTTTGATAGTAGAACGCGTTGCAAAAGGTGTCGATTGATTAAATGCTTAGCCGTTGGAATGATACCCGTATGAATGGTACTGTTTTACTAAATGAACTAGTTGCTAAGTGTTTTTATTTTTCATAGAATTTAGTATATTCCCGAAAACATAAAAAGGACAACAAATGTATACAACGAGAAAATCAATCGCAAGTTAGCATAGATTCAAACACCAGTTCTTGCGATGAATTGTCACTATATTTCTTGGATGACAACCCTTTAGATGACAATCAAATTAATGGCTGTAATAGTGTTATAGAGATTGAAGATTTAAACTCAAATACTAATGAGTTTGTATTGACTTACAATATATTTATACATTTAAATAGCAATTAAAGTGTTATTTGGGTGGCAATTGTGAAATAACTTTTGATAGTAGAAAGCGTTGCAAAAGGTGTCGATTGAATAAATGCTTAGCCGTTGGAATGAAAACCGTATGAATGGTACTGTTTTACTAAATGAACTAGTTGCTAAGTGTTTTTATTTTTCATAGAATTTAATATATTCCCGAAAACATAAAAAGGATAACAAATGTATACAACGAGAAAATCAATCGCAAGTTAGCATAGATTCAAACACCAGTTCTTGCGATGAGTTGTCACTATATTTCTTGGATGACAACCCTTTAGATGACAATCAAATTAATGGCTGTAATAGTGTTATAGAGATTGAAGATTTATACTCAAATACTAATGAGTTTGTATTGACTTCAAGTGATCCGGAATATAATATGGTGCCTGTTATAAGGCCTGTTACCGATTATAGCATACAATTCAATGAGTTAGAGGGCATGAAGTTTAATGAATTATTAAATGGTATCAAAACATTTCAGATTAATGGCAATGCTACTGACAAAATTGTCATTGATGACTTAATGAGTGGACTCAATTTGCTGCTTACTAAAACTATATTCCAATGTTCTTGTTCAAAATTAAATATTGAAATCATTCGTATGATATTGATCTCAATGGATGAGTATTTAATTAATATCATTTGATCGCTTTTGCATAGACTATTAAATTGAGTTAGAGGGCATGAAGTTTAATGAATTATTAAATGGTATCAAAACATTTCAGATTAATGGCAATGCTACTGACAAAATTGTCATTGATGACTTAATGAGTGGACTCAATTTGCTGCTTACTAAACATGACAATGGGATCAGAGATATAATTAAAATGTCAAAATTGTTAGCTGAATTTAATAGTCTATGCAAAAGCGATCAAATGATATTAATTAAATACTCATCCATTGAGATCAATATCATACGAATGATTTCAATATTTAATTTTGAACAAGAACATTGGAATATAGTTTTAGTAAGCACTTTTTAAAATAGATAACTCTTGTTTGATTTAAAATATTTATTAGAATAATAGATCGTATCTGGTCAATTTGGATATATTCCGGGGGCATTCACATGGCATTGAAATCTACAGTTGTTATGAATATCATAAAATGATTCTTCAATACATGGGACACGACTGGGAATCAGATGATATTATTCTTGATTTTGTAAATAATCTGTATTTACAATAAGTTTACTTTTATATTATTAATAATAATATTTGTTTTGTAGTTAACAGCTATACTACTCTTTAATCCTAACCGACCGAAACTAATCCACAAACAAATGGTCAAGTATGTTACGAGTATAATTAGTTTGTGTTTCAATAATAATGATATTTCATTTATATAGATATCAACAACAGGTTTACATCTATTTATTTCATCGATACCTATCAATGAAATACAGATCGAAATTCTTAGCCAATGCAAAATTCTTGAGATTGAAAACTGTTGTCAAATATTTGAATGTATTGAGTGAACAAATTGTTGAGCACTCGAAAGGCGATGATTTAAGTCATGCACCACTTTATAGGGAAATATGCGATCGTAATTAATACAATATTTATATAATTATACATCTATTTAAATATTTATAATATAATATAAAAATAATACGTAATCAAATAAAAATATTTTACATTTTTTATTGTAATTTTGCAATTATCGCAATACATGTGTTGTAATTATGTTTTATACTTGAGACACACTATATTGATTGTATATTCAATATACTATACTATATTGATTGTATTATATTATTTTATAAGTATTTACTGATTAAATAAAATGACTATTTAGTCATTTTATTTATTGCAATAACATAGGCAACAATAACTGATAATAACTACGATACTATATGTTATACTTTGTTTTCCTTTACTATGGGATTATAACTTAAAATATTAGGGTTATGCAAAAGTTTTGATAGGTGAAATATAGTCAGTAAAAGTTCATTTATTTTTGAACCAGATAATTTAAATAAAAAATATAAGTATGAGAAACATGGTTTTTAAGCCTATATAACC